AATTTGGCACAAATCCTGTTGTGCCTGCAAAGGAAGGAACCGATTTATCCCTCAAACTGGTACTTGGATGATTTGTAGGCATTTACTTTTTGCTGGATTTGGGATACTTGAGTTTTTGTTGCCATTCTATAGCTACTCCAAGCATTATAAGAGGGCACAAAATAAACTGCCTAAAAATAACTGCCAGGGAATTATTAGTTGGAAGTAGAGGTAGGAGCCAGCTGCCTGAAAGCAAAGCCTGTCTGGGGCTTTTGGGGGCTCAGAGATACCACTGCACTGTGTCACCCCTCTTTCAAGTCCAGTATTTCATGAAGCACCTACAAGATCCAATTCATCCCCAAAGGAAATATAATTTTAATTCCAATCCATGCAAGACTCCATGTAACAGCTCCTGTAAGATGCAGAATATGGGACTGAAATGAAAATGCAAAATCAGGATTTGCACTGTGTAGCCCAGTGCAGGGCAGTCCTGCTTAGCTGGGTCACGTTGACTTTTTGCCATACAGCATTGCTGTTAAAATATTAACCATTAAATACACTGAAATAGGCTGCTCCAAGGAACTGGATGAGGGTCTATCCCTCCTTGCCTCAGTTTCCCACTTGCCTTAGCACAAGTTATGTCTTAGCCTTGTTATCCATCAGAGGCTGCCAAGCATATTTCCAGGAATTTTTCTTACATGTCCCTAGACTTGTTTCTGCAGAGGACAGAATGACAATTTTATTTGCCCACCAAAAGTCACTCACCAGGTAAAATAAAATCAAAAGCAGCCGAGAAGGGAGGAAGGAGAAAGGAAATCACAAGCCAGGCATGCTAAAACCCAACCACTGGCTGACTGCGCAACAGGGGAGGGAAAAATGTGCCATGAGCTGCTAGTTATAAAGATAATTATATCCTTGATGAACAGCGGGGTCTTCTGGAAAATAGTTCTTCTTGATTGAATTAATGGAGGCAAACCACAGGCTTCAGACAGGCAATGGCAATGTCTGTACAGCACTGACTTTGCCCACCCTGAGCTCAAATCATCTCTGGCCGTGGCCACCATCAAACCCCTGCTCACAAGAGCAGGGTGGAAGCAAGGAGAGATCCCCACTGGATTCTGTGCACCCAAACCCAGGGGCTGAGGGGAACCAGCCACATCCCTCCTGCCTTCCCAGGGAGAATTGTGGTGTCCTACAATGCCATCCCAGCACCTTAACCCAACGTTAGAGCCGGGTTCAGAGTTATTTTTAAATCATCAACAAAGCACTGGATGCCAGAGATATCGCTTCGGTCACAAAGCCAGGGAGAAAGGAGCAGCCACCACACTCCAGACCTCAGGAATGTGCTAAAGGCAAATGTACTCTCCTTCCACCCCCAGGATTATTTTTTCCTTCAGCTATTTCAGTTGATTGAGGCTAAAATAAGAACAGGGAAAAGTAACACCAAGGTTAAAAGTGCTTGGCATTGGTTTGGAGACAACACACTGTGATCCTGCTGGTTCAGGTTTCAACGTGTGTTAAACACAGATTTTCTGCTACGTGGGACTAGCAAACATTTTATTGAATTACCTTCAAGATAAAAAAATCACTGTCTGGGCAATCTAACAGATCTCCCATGAAGAAGCACATATTGAGTAAATATAAAAATCTGTTAGGGAGAAAACCAAAATAACCTCACTGTCACCTTGGTGCACCCATCACAGGCTGCACACGACAGCAGCTTCATGAAATACTTTCAGCACAGAGTTTCCAGACTGAAATCTGCAGCTGAGCCACGTGAACAGCCTGGGAATCACCAGAATCATTTGTTTTCCTTTTCAACAGAGACTTCTCGATGTGGTTTTCCTCCCTTTCAGCTGAAGAGCACACAGAGATTTTGCACCTCTCTGCAACTCCCCCTCCACACAGCGCTGCTGCTTTCCCAGCAAACAGCACCTAAAGGATACAAGGATGCCCAGGGGGGTCACCCTTGGCTGAAACTGGGGGGTTTTCACACAGACTGCTGCCTGCCTCCCCACTGGAGTGCTTCTCTGAGGTGTCAGGATGTGTTTTCAGATCCCCAAAAGCTCATGCTGTAGAAGCACAGAGACAAGGGACTGAAACCATGAAGCAGCTTCATTAGAGGATTTGATGATTAAAAGCACCCAGCTCTGCAGGCAGTGTAATGGCAGATAGGGATGAAGATTCCCTGGTAATCACCCATCCATAGAGGAACTGACCTGGCAAACCCCAGCCGTGGCTGTATTTTAGAGCAGCAAAAGGCATTTAGCTATCTGAGTGAGCTAAAATGCTGCATTTCCCCTCTAATGGGTTTTTAATGCTCCTCTTGCTCCAACCCAGTGGTGCTTTAGGTCCTGGCTTGGTGCAGGCACCGTGCTGGGAAGGGCTCTGACCACAGCCACGGACTTGGGGCACAAATCTGCCCTGAACTTCCCCCCAAAAAATGACAGAGCCAGACTGTGCATCCAGTCAGGGAGGCAGAACAAAGCTGCCAGAGCAGAGCAGCAACTCCAGACTCCCACCCACGGCTTTCCAAGACATCCCTCAACTCTGCCACAACCCCAACGTTGATTTCTAGCCCTGTGGAAAGGTAAAAGATGCCAAGCCCATCTTTACCCATTATGAGGTCTCATTTCATTCCATCCAGGCCATGGCATTTGTATTTGCATTACTGCAGGAGGCTGCTGTGCCAGTGCTTCACTTAAACTCAGCATCGTTTCAGAGCTAATAAATGCAACCCTATTCCTCAAAGCCAAGAGGCTTCCTGACAACATCATACAGCCTCCAGCCAGCCCACCAAACCCACCTGCCACTGGTTCCTGCAGCAAAACAACTGGCACCTATGGGAGCAGTACAAGGAATTACAGGGTGGAGGCAATTTTGTTGTTCCTATTCACGTGCTTCTCTTTTGATGCATAGGAAGTTTTGAGTCCTCTCCATGCCAGAGATGCTCTCAAAGGAGGAGGAATGTTTTACTTTATTGTCAGGGATTTCTAACGAGGCATTCTGTAAATATTGGGGATTTTCTCAGAGAGGCAGCAGCCTTAAGTTCGAGTTTAAAGGGAGCTTTAGCTTTTGATTAAGGAGGCACTCAAACTGCAATCAGTGGCAGGCATTACCGAGTGTGCTTTGGCCTGAGAGAAGACACAAAGCACTTTAATTCCTGTTTTCCAGGAAAGGTCATACACACTGCCTAGAAGTTTTGTTTTTAAGAAAGCATCGTTTTCTATAGACTATGCAAACACAGTGCTGTACAGCACAGAGAAAAGATGCAGGGAATCAAGAAGGTATTAATGTTTTACCAACCTTATTTGCAACTGCCTCTTACCTCTCACAGTAATAGTTATCTACACCCAGAAAAAATCCAAGCAGCCCAGCACAGAGCTGTGTGTGGTGCCAATCATCACTGCCCCAGTAACAGCAAGAGCCTGCCTCATCCCCTCCTCCCTGAGCAGCCTCTGCAGGAAGCTGCAGTCAAAACCCAGAAAAAGCCCCAGTGGAAGTGGTTACCTCGGGGTACAGCTGGATCCTTGGCCTGCTGAATGAGACTTTTAGGATGACTGATTCCCTGGCTGCCATTGCTTTTTAAAGACTGCAGCCAGTGGTGAAATTTCTTAAAGCTCAAGCTTTAAAAGAAAGGTTTTTCTCTCAGACCCTTCTCTTTTTTTTAAAAAAAATCTCATTTTAAAATACCTGCATTGGTGCAAATCACCTTGATTTCTGAGCACTCAGTTGCCACTTGCAATTTCAGGGCAGCCCTGACTGTGTGCAGGGCCGTAAAAGCAGAAAGGTGTAAAAAGAGTAAGTGGGTCTTTTTGTTAAATGTGCTCAAAATACAAAATCCCAGGAGGAGAATGTAGTGAAAAACATCTACAGCACCAAGATGAGCTGTCACTGGGCACCTGGTTCACACAAGAGGCAGCATCTTCCTGCTCCTGAGCCCACTGGAGATGGAAAGGAGCAGCCTGGAGTACTTTTAAAAGTTACAGCTCCCCAGCAAAGAGAAGGGAGAGTCAGGAAAAGGAGACGGGGCAGGGAAAAAAGAGCAGAGAGAAATCCTAGCTAGCAGGAGATAGCGCTCTCTGCACAGGGCTGTGCAGCTTTTCCCTGCAACCCCGCAGGAAAATGTGCCTCGTCCAAGGGCACGGGCTGCTCCTGCCCTGCACAGCTGAGGAGTAGTAAATAGTTAATTACAGTAGTAAATAGTTAATTACATGGTACAGATCAGCACATCATGTGTAGCACGGCTCACTGCGTTACTCCCCAGGGTTTGGGGGGAAAAAACCAGCACAGGGGAAGGAAGGGAAAGAAGGAAAAATTTGTGCTGCCTCAGGAGCACCTTTTGTGGAAGATCAGCTTAAGATGAGGGGGTGCGGTTTCCCTTTGGAGCACCTTAAATAAACACACTTTTACACAGCACCAACACCATCACCACCCCTCCGAGCTTTTGTTGAGGGCACACAGGTGACAAGCACGGCACAAGTCTTTACCTGTTGCACTGAAATGCTAGGAGCAGCGAAGAAACCGAGGCATCCCATGGAAACAAGCACACAACTCCAGCGTTTCCAAGCCCTCCACCCGTAAACCCCAGAACATCCGACCTCAGCTCTTTGAAGAGGCACTTCTGGCTACCTCCTCTTCCCTGCGGCTCAGGAATGGGAAGACAGACTACAAAAGGCAGTAATTAAACATTTCCAACAAAAGGCACGGACCAGAGACAGAACCCGCCTCGGTCCAGCTCGCCTAGCAAGCAGAGAATCCCCCTACAAAGCAGGCTGCGTCCCACGGCATCACCACCTCACTGCTCCCGAGGCCAAGCGCCCTGGAATAATTTCTCCTTTTCCTTTCCCTACTGCTGTGTCGCCAGCGAAGCCAGGCTGGAGCCTGGCCGGGCTTCAGGGAGAGCGGTGGGAGCGCGGAGGAGGCGGCCGGGGATGCACGCCCGCGCCCGGCGCAGAGGGAGTCCCGGGGAGCCTGGCGCGGCGGCCCCGGGGAAGTTGTGCCGCGGCGGCCGCACTTACCCAGCACGAAGCAGAGGAAGCGCCGCGGGAGCAGGGCCATGGCCCCACGGCAGCCGCGGCTCCGCTGCCGGGGCCGGGCGGGCTCCGCGCCCGCGGCGCTGCCGGAGGGAGGGCGGGCCCGGGGCGGCCGCGGCCCCGCCCGGCTCCGCTCCGCTCTCCCGGCGGCAGCGCGGGCCGCAGGAGCGGGAGCGCTCCCGCGGGGACAGCGGGACGGAGATGGAGCCCGGGCTCTCCTTATCGCCCTCTCCCCCTCGCAGCCCACGGGCGAACAGTTCCGAAGGAAAGCACGGAGCAGCCCGCCTTCCTCAACCCCGGTTCCACCTCCAGCGAGGGGATTTCTCCCTAGCTAAAACATCCTGCCTTCTCCCCCTTTCTAGGGCTGAACATACACATGGAAGGCGATTTTAAGGAGGAATGTTTTGTGGTTTCCGCTTTAATGTTTATTGGAGTGTAGCACCGCTCCCGAGCTCCTACAGCTCCACCTGCAGCTCGCTGCGGAGCTGTGCCCCAGCAGCAGAGCCTCAGGTGCTCCGGATCGGGATACGCCCGTGCAGCAGGGCAGGACTCTGCTGCAGCGGGGTCACTGCCCCACAGCTCGCTTCTCTCACGCCTGAGGTCAGCTCTCCCTCTCGAAGGTCAATAAAAAAGGAACAGCAGAGTTTGCTAACTCGAGTCTTTCACATCGTGCACACTTTGCTTTCCCAAGAGGAACAAGACAGCCAGTTCCTCCTGAACTATTAGCACCCGCCTAATCACAGAGCCCGGCTTGGGGAACAACAGCTGCTGGTAATGAGGTGAAGAGCAAAGCCTGGGACTGCTTCCATCTTGTCAGAGCCCGAGACACCAAAGCCGCGGCCTCACCTGCAGCACTGGGACCAAGGGCACAGCACAGAGCCATGGCTCTGCCACGGGGACAGGCAGCAGAAGAGGTCTGCAAACAGCACAGCATTGACCCAACTCTTTTGAAGAACAAATTTTAACCTTTATTGACAGTAAACAAGGCTGTTATTTCCAGCAGCAATTGCAACAAAGTACAAACAAGAGACTGGGTTAGGTGATCTCTGAGCAGAATCACCTTTTCTTAAATGTATTATATACTTGTTTCTTACTGTGGAAAATGGGGATTCTTATTTCCCCATTATTTAGTAATGCCTTGGCCATTTCACACCTCCCTCATGTTAAAAATAAAAATTATTATAAGTCATCATCTCCCACACAAAACAACAGGGAAAAAATACTGTAATATGAACAATTTGGACTGCAGAGCCCACGCACCACTGGAAAGCCAAATAATCACTCCATAAGGAAAGCACAACACATTTTGAGGCTGTTAAAACTGACTGAAAATGCTTCCAAGCATAAGATTTTAATGTTTTGGGGATGAGTTTCTGTCCCTATCTACAGTCCTGTGAAAGTCAGCCAGGAGATTAATCCGAAGACTTTTGCAGGAAATGTGGCAGTGGCGCTGCTAGGAGGTCCCTAAAGCAAGCAGAGCACCAAGCTGAGCAGGAGACTAAAGCAAGGATGGACACACATCCCTGGAACTCTGGGCTGTGGTTTCAGCACCTTCAGCTTGCTGCAGCGCCGCACGACCAAAAGCATCGGTGAGAGAAAATAACAAGACACAGTCTGATTCTGTCAGGTTTCCAGCCCAGAGCTGGCCCAGGCAGCAGACAGAAAGCATCAGTGTTTGGATCCAGAGGGAGCCAGGGCTGGGATTTCGGGTGAGAGGCTACACAAGGCCTGGCCCTTAGGTGTCAGCTGTGCACTGAACGCGGACAGTGCCCTCCACACAGCTCAGCAGTGAGGCAGTCCAGCTGTTGGAATCCAAAATACAGGGGATTCTCAGGACTTTGGGCCTGTAAGCCAAAGCTCAGAATTAAACACAGGCTTTGATCTGACTTGGAAAAGTCTTCCAAACTTAGGTGCTAGAAGCGAGAATGTGGATTTATAGTTTAAAGAAGAGACACATTAAGAACAGAAAAGTTTACACTTTTGAAGTTTAAGATAGAGAAAAAATGTAAACAGTTACAAAGATAAACAAGGAGTTCAGAATGCAGTACTGTAGGTTTGTGTGTCATAACATGACTGACTAAGAAAGCTTACACTGTAGCATGAGTTCATAAGAGGAAATATTTAAAAATTGGGTCAAAAAACTTAAATATCCTTGTTGGCAGTGTTTTATTGGCCAATAAAGCTTTAAAAGGTCTTATAACTAAAGGTCTTGTGACCTTCTGAACTATGCACTAGTGAGTCAAACTCATCCTTTCTATCTATATAGAAGAAAAATAACCACATAACCTAAAAACTCAGAGGTCCTGTCTCTACCTTGTTCAAAATGCCTTCAAAAATCCCCATATTCAGTAATAAACCACCAGTACACCAAGATTTATAGAATGCAACCTGTTTTACAGCTCCCAGTCTTTATAAACCGCTGCTCCAGTGGATTCACCCCGGTACCTCCTGCAGGGCCAGAGGCTGCAATAATCTAGTCAGGCTGTAGGGTGGGTTTACTTCCTTTAGCCTGGAATATTCACCTCTTTCAGTGCTTCTGCTGCTGAGAACTCAGAATGTCAGAGGCCTTCTCCTCAATAGAACTGATGGCCATGCCACTCAGGACACCCTTGTTGATTCTCCTCACCTCCTGCACTGCGCCTGCAATTTCCTCTCTGTGGGAATGAAGGAAATAACCGTGAACATCATGTTTTGTGCCACACATTTAGTGATTGGTTAGCATGCGTATTGACTACATTACAAATTAGGGCGAAAAAGAAATCCAAATATCTCACCTGCTAAACCCTGGATGCCTTTTTTGGAGTCTCTTTATTAACTTGGTAAAGCTGCTCAAGTTCAGTGCGTAAGGAGAAACAAAGATACCAGATGGGTCCACAGAGGAACAAATGGATGTTTTCTGCAGGGAATTTTCCCCAGGATCCTAGAAGTGCATCAAAATAAGGGAAAAAAATGCATGGCTTAAGGGTTGTACGGGTAATAAAACACCTCTTTCCTACAAATAAATATAAAATCCTAGATCCACAGAATGGTTTGGGTTGCAAGGCACCTTAAAGCTCATCTTATTCCTGCTACTTTAAAGTAGATCCAATTACCATTTCCCAAAGGACCAGCATGTTTAAAGGGAAATCCCCAAAGACAGCAAATCTGTGGGGTTTATGTGAGCAACACCAGCAATTACTGAATTGCCCTTTACTCTCCAAGGACTAAGCTGAGCCAATACAAAACACTGTATGTATAGATTTCTTAGATTTATGCTGGAAAATCCAAGAGTTTCCTTCCCATCCATTACCCCAAAATCTTTCCTGTATAAAGCCACAGGACGCTTACATTAAAAAAACTGGTGTTGCAAGATGAAAAATGTAGTGCAAACGTGGAAATTCCAAACTGTCCTAGGATTCAGAAAAACCAGCTGGGGTGTCACAGTCTGATGCAGGGGCAAAAGAATGGTGCTTTCACTCTTCTGCCACATGACAGAAACTTATTACCAATATGTTACATATTTTCCTATCCTTACATAATTTTCTATCTATTAAATGTTACGTGACAGGAAGATTTAAAGCTTAGTCTGCCACACAAAGTAGTGTGAGCAATAATTACTTCCCTTCTGATTATCTCCAAGCAAACAATGTGCCAGCTGTTGAGTAGGTGATTTCAAATCAAGGCTCTTGGTAGTAAATGCAGAGTATGAAAGAAGCCTTAAAGAGGCAAGAAATTCCTCCTACAAATTAAGAACAGACCTACCTCAGGCACTGAGGTTTTTGGACCACCAACAGGAACAGAAGATTGTTCATTCCCACTCCCCACTGTCTTCACTTCTAGTAATAAATGTAAGAAAGTAAAGAGTGACTGTTCTTGAGCTGACATCTTCTCCATAGACTTTGGACAGCCTAGAGAGAAAACTTTAGAACAAACTAAGGGAGAGAAGAGAATCTCCTAAGAGAAAATGAGTGTCCTGAGAAGCACATCAGTTCAGCTTGTGGAACATCTTCTCCCTGGGTGTTTCCTGAGATTTTAAGAGGCAGAGGAAACACAGCTCTGAAGTAACAGTACCATTGCTGAAGGCTGGTATGGAGAACCCCCAGGCTCTCTGCCTTCAACACCCTGGGACTTCTCAGCACACCCAGCACTGTGACTCAAGTCTCCAAACACAAACCATTTGCATCTCACTCTTTGAGGAGTCCAGCATGGGAAGGACACACAAAAAGAAGGAGGAGGAGAAAAAAGGAAAGATTTCCATCTATGTGATTGGCTGGTCATTTACTAACTTCAGTTCAAGCACTGCACGTGAAGTTTTCAAGGAAAAACATGTCTGGATGAAAACAGCTGAGTAACAGGGATTCACTGCTAGAGAATGAGAAAATAAATCTGAAAACCCAGCTGGCATTTTTTCCAAGTTTACTTATGCTTGGAGAAGGAACAGAGCACTCCAACAATAAACACCATTATTTGGTTTATCAGTTTAAAGCACACGACTTTACCTCTTGAGTCAATCAAGTCTTGTTTTCCTTGTTGCTTTTTCATTTCTTTGCACACTACTGAAATATCTGCCACTGACAAATCTTCCTTAGCATCAAACCAATACTCACTTCCTTCCTCATTTTTTACACAGCCTTGGCAGTTGGGATAAAAATTCAAGTGTTAAAATTCAAACCATGGTATGCTAAGAGTATCACATTTCTGTGGTTTTAACTACTTACATCTCTTGGTGCTACATTTCAAAAATGTGACATTAGATTAATTAGAAACTTTTTTAAAGATGCAAGTAATAATACAGAGCTACTAATACTTATCAATAAATTTTGATAGCTGAATATAAACATTCCATCACAGGAAGGGCAGCTGTGTTACCATACACATGTTTTAAACAGGGTTTCTTTCCTCCCCTGAGAACTTAACTCACAAATAAAAGGTAATTTTTACTAGGAGCAGACCACTCACCACGTTCCAGAGCCTGATCTTTAGGCTGTTCTTCCTGTGTCTCAGAGGAAGCAGAGTCACCTGGCTGATCACCATCAGTCTGTGAGTTGTCCTACAAACACATTTCAGTTGTATCACAGCACTCCCAACTAATTGTAAGTTATT